ATTTAATCTATTTTTGTTTTTGAAATAATATATAAGATATGATTTAGTTATTAATATTTTGATATTTATATTATTTAAAAAATTAGTTATTTATAATATTATTTAATTACTTAAATAATACCATCATTTAAAATTTTAAAATATAAAAATATTAATTATTTATTAAATTTACTAATCCATGAAATTATAATTTATACTCTTATTACATAATTTCGTTATTAATTTTGTAAAATATAAAATTTTTATTAATTCAAAATTTTTGAAATCTATTATAATGATTATTCTACTCTTAAGATTTTTTTAAAATTTATTGCATAATTTTGTTATTTTAACTATATAAAATTTAGTTATGTTAAATATTTCATTATGTAAATATTTAAATAATATATAAAATATTCATCTTTTTTGTTTTTGAAATTTTATTTCATTAAAGTTATAGTGTAATTTTAAATATTTTGTTACATAATTATTTAGATATTTTTAATATTTTGTTATTTAAATAGTTTTTATTTATGTTTTTTAAATATTATTTAGTTAATAAATTGAATAATCCATAAAATTATAATTTATATTGTTATTACATAATTTCGTTATTAATTTTGTAAAATATAAAATTATTATTTAATATATTAATATTGTTTAAATCAAGGTTTTTAGAAACGACCTAGAAACAGAACTAGTCAGGGGACTGGTTTCCAATTAAGCAGTTCAACCGTCTGGGCTGAACGGTTTGACCCGTGATGTCATAAATAAATTAAAAATAAAAATATATTTTTAAATAATAAAAAGCAGCATAAAAATAAATAAAATATAGAAAAAAATACAGACAAATACAAAAAATAAAACTATCTAAATACAAAAATAATACACTACAAAACACATAGAAAATATAAAAATAAAATACAGAAAAATTTTAAAAATATAGAAAAAACACAAAATTTTCAAAAAATACAGGGAAAAAAACAGAAAAATTCTACTGCCATGGTGCATGTTGAGGATGCTAGGTAGGTGGTGTTGGTTTATGGGTGCAATTCAGCCAGCACAAGAAGTTAATATGGAAACACGTTGCCCTACTCAAGCCGGTATTCCTCAAACACTATAACAGTATAACAAGTTCTTCGGTTTACAACACAAACGGATGAAAACAAAAAAAGAGGCACAAAAAACTAATGAACTAAAAAAAAGTTCTTTAGTAGAAATAGGGCAGAGAAGAAACTTCTACCCCAAAAAAAGGAGAGGATAAATGGATGATTACATTACAAAGACAAAAAGAAACACTTCACCGGCCGAATAAAATTGAAATAATCAACCTTAGACAATAATGGTTGAGAGAAAGATAAGAGAAGAGAGTTTCATCGACCTTGACAAAACTAGGAGGAGGCAACAGAGAAGCGGCCAAGCAAAACAAAAATGAAGGAAGAACAAAAAACAAAAGTGCATAGGAAAAACTGGTATGCGACCAAACTCACCACCGGTCGCCGCTGTTTCTTGTTGCTCCTGTTGATTAAAAAAAGAAATCCGCCGTAGATGAAACTCACCACCGTCGCCGGTCGTCGTGATTCACCGTCGATCGCCATCGGTCATGGCCGCCGCAGATCGTCTGAAAGGAAGGAACTCAAGGAAGGTTTAGAAGTTAGAATGAAAATGAACTTTCGTTCTGAACTTCTAACGCTAACTCGTAAGATTTGGGAATCGGGGAAATGAGTATCGTTTTTTTTGTTTTTTGTTTTTTAATCTAATGAAAAATAATTTCGTAACCCGTGAACCGCTGCCCGGGTCGAACGGTTTATCGGTTCGACCCTTGGGTCAGCGGATTTTTGACCTTTTCAACGGTTTATTAGGCATTAACGATTTAAGGTATAACTGGACCCGGGGGGCTAAACGATTACCGGTTTTTCCGGTCCAACCGTCCAGTCTAGTCCAGTTTTGAAAACCATGGTTTAAATAATTCCATTATTTAAAATTTTAAAGTATTAACTATTATTAGTTTAATAACCCATGAAATTATAATTTATACTATTATTACATAGTTTCCTTAATAATTTTGTAAAATATAATAATATTATTAATTCAAAAGTTATGAAATCTATTATAATTATTATTCTACACTTATAAATTTATTTTTAAAATTTATTACATAATTTTGTTATTTTAATTATTTAAAATTTAATTATGTTAAGTGTTTCATTATTCAAATATTTAAATAATATGTAAAATATTTAATCTTTTTTGTTATTTAAATTTTATTTCTATAATGTTATTTTGTAATTTTAAATATTTTGTTACATAATTATTTAGGTATTTTTTATATTTTGTTAATTATGTTTTTAAAATGTTATTTAGTTATTAAATTAATTGAATAATCCATAAAATTATAATTGATATTGTTATTAGATAATTTTATTATGAATTTTATAAATATATAAAATTATTAATACTATGAATATTGTTAAACGTATTATAATTATTTTTTGTGTTTTTAATAAATATTTTAAAGTCATTAACATAATTTCATTATAATATTTAAGTAATTGTTAAATGTTTTAATTGAAACTTTCTTTATATAGATAGGGGTTCGACTATGATATGGAAAACATATGATATCCGAAAATCAACTGACCAATAAACCAAAATCATAAACATGGTAGGGAATATGGTGTTATTTATCAAAATTCATGGGTGGGTTTTCATTGGTCAAAACTCTTTCCATACCGTATCTTTTATATCATATAATAGATGACAACTCTCAAACAACATAGAATAGATGACAAATGCAAAAAGGAAATAACCATTTTATGGCTGGGGTGTAAATTGGATTAGATTTGGTCCAATCCGATCTAGTCCAATATGAGTCCAGTATAGATGGATAGACAGACTAGATCCAATCTAATTTTCTGAATACTTTGGACCATTTTGGACCGGTCCAATTCAATGTTTGGATTGTTCAATTTGTTCAAATTGGTTTAATTTAGTTTGGTTCCAACCCAAACCTGGTCCATTGGCACATGTTATCTTATCTTCTATCAATGGATCAAACATTGGTTCAATCCAACCCAATATAAATCATTATGAAACGAACGAAGTCCAATCCAATCCAATAAATACTTTGGACCATTAAATCTAGACTGGTTCAATTCAATATGTCTTATTGGTCCGTCCAATTCATCTAAATTAATTTTGGTTTGGACGAAGTCCAACCCAAAGCCGGTCCATTGACACCCCTACTTAGTAGGATTTCAATAATCAATTTCTTAAATTTGTTAGTTATGTATCATGCCTTCTCTTCTGATATCACTGGACTCATTTGTTAAATTTATAAAATTAAAGGTCATTTACTAAAACACTCCCTATAGCTCACGGATTTACTAAAACCTACCTGTTTTAATTAAAAACTCCTCTTATAATTTGCAATCAATTTGACCACCTGTAAATGTTCAAGGGCATGGGCGTATGTTTATTTTATTTCGAAATAACCTATAATACATTGTATTGAACTTTTAAAATGAATCATTGTTAAATTTTCAGATTTACCACATGATGTTTGATTTCAGTAGAATGAAAAAGAGAGCACAATGTATATCAGATTTAATAAAAATAAAATTTTCCATATTTTATTAAGGGCAAGAGTGACATTTTCATTTACATTTTCTGTGGATTATATTTGCCCAAATAGATTCTAAGGTCAAAACAATCACTAAATAGACCACAATTATTGCAGGAAAAGTTAGCGACCGGCGGGACCTATCAATTACTCACGTGGGTGTTTTGAATTCCAATTCCAAATACATGGAGTCATCGAGATTGGGTGGTCAACGTTTCCCCGATTCTTGTTCAGCTTCGCAATTATGAAATCACAACTGATGTGAGCAGAGCAGGTTGAACCCGTAATGATGTAATATCTATTAATTTATATACCTTTATTAAAAATATATAATGTATTTTGTTATAATACATATTTTTATTTGAAAAAAAAAATAGTGAAACTTATATTAGCGCCTAGATCTCAAAAAATTAGCCACGATAAGAAAAAGATCAAACCATTTGAACAAAAGTTATGTGGCCTTCAAAAGCTTGCATTTATGTAAGTTTCAAAAACAATTGAAAAATGTCGGTTTGTTTGCAATGCGATTTTATTTGCAGTGGTGTTAAAGTAAAGAAGTGCAAATGAGAAGAATGTAAATTTTGGTTTGTTTTTGTTTTACTATGCACTGCAATCAAAGAAAATTAATTTAAGTAGAAACAAAAATTAATTAGAATTTGCACTAAAATCATTTTCACCTAAAAATGGCAATGGGGAGGGGATCATATTCTCCATCCCAATCTCAAATTTGAAACAAATCCCCATCTCCTACCCTGGTTGGGGATAAAATCGGATCCTCCATCCATAATCCCCAACAGAGTTGGGTTATTAATCGAGGACCTGATTCGGTTGGGAAAGCCAAGTACCCAGTAGAGATGGAGAAAATTGTCATCTCAATTTTTACACCACAAATTTTGCACAAGTGCAAATGAATTTGCATTTCCAATTAACCAAGAAAAATTTTGTGTGGTCTAAATTTCTCCACCTACTTTACAACTGCACTACATACTTAAAAGCAGTGTCCAATTATGATTAATTAGTCAGTAATCCTGTCACTGAACACGATAATCATTGAAAATAGTTTCCCAAAAAAGAGAAAATTAAAACTAAAACTCTGGCAGATACACTGCAAATGTAAATGTAAATGCAAACGCAAATGCAAAGCTTGCTCTCCACAGCCACAAAAGGCCAAAACTGAGACGGCATTGTCCAGCCGACAAATGCGCTCAAAAATACAAATGGGACGGGGCTCCATCTCACGTCCCAACCGCTTTTCCGCTAAATCCCATACTTTCAACCCCGCAGCGTCTTCATGTCAACGGTCAGAATTGCTGGCGCTTCCTCCATCAAATAATCGAGATCAGCCAGCCCCGATCGACTCACTTCCCTAAACAAACCTCCCTATCTCTCTCTCTCTCTCTCTCCCTCACCAGTCACCAACTTCTCTCACCAACCCAATTCATAAAAACCCGGCCATCACTACTCTCTTCTATCTCCTTCTTCATTCTTTTAATTAATTTCTTCTCAACAAGAACAATAATCATGAGCCCTGCCCAATCATCTCACCATGATCAACAGCTGAAGAGGGAGATCAATGGCTCACGCCCATCTCCTTTGAAGATCAACAAGGATTCTCATTTCATTCAAAAACCATCTTCCTCCGCCCATTCACCATCTTCAACTTCATCGTCCTCTTGTTTTAGTGGCGTAGCGGCTGCGGCCTCCAATAAACAACAACAGCGGCACCCTCCGGTTATCATTTACACCCATTCCCCTAAGATCATTCATACACAAGCTCGTGATTTCATGGCTCTGGTTCAAAAGCTCACCGGACTATCACGTTCTGAAGATCAGTCGGTGCAATCTCATCAAGACACTGCGGGACAAGTTTCTTCCTCGAAAACTAATAACAATAACATAAAACCAGGTGGTCACGATGACACCGAGTCATCTTCGGTTGTTACTGATGAGAACTGTGTTGGTGGTGGAGATGTTCAGGTCAGCTCATCATCTATTTCTCCGGTCTCTGAAGCGCCCCAATCTTACTTCTCCGACATTCCACTCTTTACACCAAATGCAGCGGAATTATTCTGTGCACCTCGACCGCTTTATAGATATCCTGATACAGTACTCACACCTTCCAATATCGGTAGTTCTATCTCCCCTTCACCTCTGGAGGTTATGAAGGGATTGCAGGAATATTGAGGTCCAATTTATTTGATTTTTTCTTCAGAAAAGAGATATGCTACGTACCGATCGAGTTAGAATCTCTTCTGTTTACATTTTTTTTTTTCGTTTCTTTGATTTTTTTTTTGTTAATTTTTTGGGAGGAGCCAATAACCAATGCTAAATTATATATGATTAATAATTGATCAAATTCATTTTTTTTTGTATGTTCATCAAGACGAGTTCAACATCTTAATTAGCTTCTATCACGTAATGCAATTATTCAAAATTATGTCAGGTTGTTTTTCCTTTTTTTTTTTCTTTTATTCAAAATTAACGGAGCAAGCATCTAAAATATACTAATTTGTTCTAATTATCTCCAGAAAGATATTTATATTTGCGTTGCAAATAAATATACAGAAGTTTTATTGCAACAACATTGAAGTTTATCACATTTAACAAATCAAATTTAACTCGGCTGATGAAAATTTCAATTGGATGGTTAAAATCGGAACCGTACAGAATCGTTTCACTTGAAGAAATATATTCATGAGCCATGAAGTAAAATGCCAAAATTGTTTGCATCTAGAAAAAGGCTTGAGCCTGCTAAAAAAACAGGCAAAACAGTTTGAAAACTGCAACAAATAGATCACCGATGACTAATTTTGACAATGACGGAAGTCCCTAATTTTGACAATGTTTCCTTCAATGGAATCATCATTGTGCATCTTAAAAAAAAAACAAAGAATATATTTCTTTGCCATTTTGGGACTTCACTCGTGGAAAGCACCGCATATAAATATGGTACTGTTTATAACTACACGAATGTGCAAAATAAATAAAAAGGGAGAGGTACAGGCCTAATGCAGATTTCTGATTTCCAATTCAAGTTATAAACATTTAAAAGGACCCACATTCTATGCACATATCCGTCAGTGAATTGACATTAATTCCGAGTTGACACCTACCCCAAATATATTTTGAACCTACAAATCATGACAGTGGGTTGAACAGTTATTCTCCCATGTATAATATAAAATCCTTCCCCTCCCACAATCATATAAACCTTCCTTGTATTTTGACTGTAACAAAAACCTCCACTATCATTTGAAAAAAAAAATGTATAATTGCTTCCCTTCGGTCACTTTTCTGATAATAAAGGCATTGAAATTACAAAATTATCCTTAACTTTAAGATTTCATTGATTGTTTCAGTAAGCAGGAGGGAAACAATGGCCGGTCTCACCCCATTCTCCCCAAAAAAAGTAAGACGGTTCATTTTAAGACAAATTTCTTAAACTATCCTTATGGACAATATGTAAACAGGTAGAGTTAGTCAATTAACTAAATCATAAGAGTAGTTTAAGAAATTTGCCCTTTATTTTATCTTTGAAATCCATCCCTTTCTTCAATAGACTCATGAGAAATAACCTCTTCCTCTAGTTTTTGCTATTCAATTTAAATCTGTCACTGTAAATAATATAGCCCTAGTTCTCATAGCTCAGAAAGTTTCAATACGTCAAATTCTGATCACGTTTTCACGATTAGATTTTTGAGAAACTCCGATTTTTCTAAAACTGACGATAGAGATAGTATTTTGAATTTCTTGTGAAATTGTCCAACTTTGTTTGATACGATTATCATTTTGTAATAGAAGCATCGATCTGATTACGTTCAGGGAGGCTTCCTTCCTTCTGGTTCTAAAATGGAAGGTGATGATACCAGGATGAGGCTGAGGACCCAAGGACATTATAGTTGAAGGAATATTGGGGCTTCGATTGTAGTTGCGTTGGGCGTGCAATTTAGAGCAAACTTATCTCTCTCTCTCTCTCTATATATATATTGTTTCTTTGCAAGCTTCTCTCTCTATATATATATTGTTTCTTTGCCTGTGTTTGGATAGAAAGCTACTTCCGCTAAGCAATTCAAAATGAACCATTACAATTCCTCATCTTTTACCCACACAATTAGTATTCGCTGAAACCAATTCCGATAAATCATTATAATTTCTTTCAATCCTGGTACCCTTTCTAGTGATTTATAGCCTCTTTGTTTTGGTGATCTTGTGGTGTAGCATCTTTTGTTTCTATTATTAATAATAATAATAATAATAATAATAATAATAATAATAATGCAGATGCTTTGACAAAATCACCTCATGCACGAAGTAGTGATCTTAGTCAAAAAAAAAAATGATGGAATCGCCCTTCGAAGAGAAACCATACATAAAAAGGGTGTCTTGATAAGTGATAACCTAATAGTGCGAATTTGAAGAGAAGTGGAGGCACGGAAACACCAAGGTTGGCATGACCGATTTGAGGCCAGAAACCGAGAAAGTTCTCCCACTGGATAAGAAGAATGAATCCAATCTGCTCATTTCCCCATTTTGTGATGTTGGTTTTGGAGTCCCATCTCCTGTTACATGCAGAAAATCATAGCTTGCTGTCGAACAATATGAAGGGTAAATTTGATATTTTGAAAAATAAATATATTTATGTCAGCCTTTTCTTTATTTTGAAAAATATTGAAAGGGAGGAAACTATACATATTTTCAAAACCATAGGGAGGTTTCTGTTACAGTCAAAGCTTAGGGGAAGTTATATGATTGCCAGAATATCCAGGGGAGGATTTCATATTTTACCCATAAAATTAAAACTTAATACATTTTGTTTAGTTGGGACTTCAATTTGGAAAGAGTATAAATATATATATATATATATATATATATATATATAATATAAAAACATACAAAGTATAAGGTTTTACATTCCACATATTTGTATTTGTATTCTTTCCAAATTGAACCTAAAGGGAAATTTCATCAAGGTCTGTAGTGGATGTGGAGGGATAAAGCCATCTGCCACATCGGTTCGGATTTGACCCATTTTTGCACTGGTATATATGAATCCTATTCTATTGCTTTTCAACATAGACAGATTGAGGTTGTGAGAGTGTTTTGGGTGTACAAGGTACAATGGGGGTAGCCCATCCCCTCTCAAGCCCCAATTCTGGTGGCAGCAGGATTTGATCCCAGGTCTCTACTCCGACTAGTCAGAGATCCTACCAACTGACTCACCATCAGTTGGTCACTACATTGTTTTGTTGATGTAGTGGATTTCTGCTCCACCCTCTCCCACGGATGTAGACACAACGCTGAACCACATTAAATCTCTCCGCGCTCTTGAATTGTTATGTTTTTCTATTTCTTTCTGTTTCTCTATTTGTGTCCATCTTTTCAGACCTTGGGCTACTCACAACAAACTTCAAAGACTATTAGCTATGGCATTGTATATACTTTAGAGTTTTAATTTAATTGAATCACCAATTGGCGAAGTAGAACAGTAACGATGCAGAGAAATGTTGGGGGACCAAAGACTAATATGGTATATGCCATAACTGAACTTAAAGCAACTTCCTTCTAACCAAATTAGACTCAAAATGAAAACTCCAGAGCATGGTAAAAGAAGAATGAAATGAGGAAAAGAAAAAGAAAAAAAGGAAGATCATCAACTTTGTGCACCCTACACTCATCTTTTGAAGGAAAAAAAAAAGAATATATGAAGTACAAATAAATCAGAGAAAGATTTGACAAGGAAAAAAATTAATTTGATGGAAGTAAAGAACTCACAAGAAATGTTATAATGATTCCCAATTACATCCTGCTTTACATTAACTGTGTGATAATTCAGTTTGTCTGTGGAGAATACCCTTGGCAAAAATAAGAAAAAATTAAGAAAATTAATCTTAAGCACTCTGCTATAGAATTTTCTTATAGTTTTGGTGAGGGCACAAATAACATTTCTTGCTACAATGTATTGGGCAACAGTGGGAATTATTGATTGATAAAAAAATACATGATTTTAAAACATGAGAAACACTTTTTCTAATAGAACCGTTATGTTGTCCTGTGTCTTTTGCTTTTGTCCTCTTATATGATAAAGTAGTAAATTGAGAAGTTGAGCTAAAGGATCAATAGAACCGTTACGTTGTCCTGTGTCTCATGTACAGGGGATTGGGACTACAACAGATTGAGTCCCATTCAAGACATTGTGTAAATATAGTCAGCATGATTAAATTTTCTTCTTCTTTTTTTTTTTTTGAAAGAATTCCCAAGGCAATTCATTCATCTACTAGTCTCAGACTCTCAGTTAAATCACTGTTCAAATTTGGATATAGAAATTCAGGAAGAGTAGATCAGGTCTGTAAAGAAAGCTCCCCAACTTAGCGAAGCAATGAGCAGCAAGGTTATAGGTCCAGAGACTATTGCCCCATAGGCAGCTGAGACACCCAAAAGGTGAGACAAAAGACTCTTGCAGTTTGCTGAGTGTGATGACACTCCAAGGAGGTTAAGGGGAAATGGGGAACCCTCCAGGCTCCAACAGTGTTTGATAAGGCAGAAGAGATCCCAAGAGAGATGGCAAATCGTAGGCTCTCCAATATAGAAATTGCTTTAGTAATTATGGGTGATTGAGGTTCAAAAGGGATAGCTCGGCCAAAAATCATTTTCCCATGATGATAATTTTTTGAACCTTCTGGTCTAAAAATTATTTTTTGATATTCAACTGGCTATATTGAAGGGTTCTTTACAAATCCCAACGTCTCTTAATGATAGATCAGAGAAAACATGATCGCATTTCATTTAAACGAATGGTTGCAGTAAGGTTTAGTTAATGAATAAGGTAGAAATACACAACATGTTGCATTAAGTCCTGTTTGGTTCATGGGGAATAGAGGTTTGGAATTGGAATCAGAATGGGTCATTTCAATTTTAACTGTTTGGTTAGATAGAATCGGAATATCATTTTCATTTTTGGTGAAATGGTATTCTTCCATTTGAGAGAATGGTCATTCTCTCTCCCTCTTAAAAATGAAATTCTAGTTAATTTCAATTCCAATTTCAAAAAATTTTAATTCCGATTCCAACTGCAAACCAAACAAACCCCAATTGCTTTAATGTTGGGGGGATTATGGATATGGAGGATGGGTACTAGAGAATTACTACCCTACAATTGATCCGGGAGAGTGGGGTCCATCTGATTTTAGATTAATGGTAGCTTCAAGTGGGCCTGGGCTTTTGGTAGTAGACCAATCCTCCAAATACCTATGTAATCCAACTTGTTCAGTTCCGCATATTTGCTTGGAAGGTTAATTGTACTTTCAGGTTGGATTGGACTTTTCAGCACTCCAGTCCAAGCTCAATCTGAAAGATGGAAATGCCAACCAAAACACTAATGAAAGTTAAGACTTTTGTCTGGCCCAAGATGCAAACTAATTTGATTTCTTTGTAGAGAGGAAAGGATGCCAAAATTGGAATTTGGGTACTAGGGCTGCAAGTCGGGCTGGGTTAGGTCGGGTTGAAGCCAATCCTAACCCAACCCTAAGTTCTAAACCCCAACCCTAACCCTAACCCAATCCGTCCTTTAACCCGACTAACCCAACCCTAATCCTAACCCTAACTAAATTCCTTCAACCCTAACCCAACCCAACTCAACCCGAAGTCAATTTTGGGTTGGGTTGGACTCGGGTTGGGTCCAATCCAACCTTCTTCCCATCCCTTAAAACCTCATAGAATTTCTTGATTTTAGATCTTAATTCAACTCTCACTATATATATTAATCCTATATTTCATTAGTATTTGTTTGTTGACATTTTTTTGTTCTTTTGGTACAAAATTGAGAAAAACAACTATCAGAAATGACTATAGTTTATTATGAGTTACGACTTACGATAGATCTTTCTTAAGTGGCAAATAACATAGAAGAGATGAAGAATAAAATTTCAAAAAACAAAAAATAATGTTATTAAGGTTTAGTCTTTCTAATTAAAATTAAGTGAAGTGATTATCTTAAAAGAAATACATGATACTATATGGTGGGGGCTATACAAATATCATGCATCTAAACAAATCAATGTATGTTATATATTACATATAACATATATTTATATATGACGTACTATAGAGTTGGATTCGGGTTGGATCAGATTGACTAACGAATCAACCCTAACCCAACCCGAAGTAAAGTCGGATTCATGAATTTTAATCCTAACCCTAACTCGAACATCAACCCAACCCAACTTTTTCGGGTTGGGTTAGGATTGGGTTCGGGCAAACCCGACCCAAGTTGCAGCCTTACTGGGTACCACTTGCTAGTGGGTCTTCCCCTTCCCCATGAATGCAGATACATCATGGCGAGATCTGTATTTGCAGGGTTTGTTTGGTACAACTATTTAATTTGTCCAATTAGTCACTCATGTCTTAAAATCTTAAAACTCTTAAACATGTGGCTTGTCTTGCCGGCTAAGCAATAATGTTGATGTTGCAATTTGACGTTTCTTAACACAAAGCTAAATACTTTCTCTTTTGGGCTTTCAACCGTAAATTAACAGCTTGCTTTGCCAAAAAAGAGGGAGGCTAACATTGTGTCAATGCGTTGGATCCAATGTTAAAGTCCAGGCCCTCACACCGTTAGAGTTGGTGGATCTGGGTCCCGCCAAGTCCAAGCCCATTGTTCTAGACCCACCTTTGAGTCCCCACATCTAAAAGGCGGTTGATTTGATGAATAAGAGAATTGGTAAAATAAGTGTATAGCTATTAGCTCTAGTCTGTAGACTGTAGATAGTCTCGTTTAATAGTTGGGTCCAATTTAAGGGACACGACATTGGTTTCTTAATGGGCTAAATTTGACCAGACTATGAATGCTTCATATGTTGGGCTAAAACCCTTGTACCAGAGGCCCATATTTATTAACCTTGTGGAGTAGTTACATCTACATGACCTTCCACATCAATCGCGCTGCACTTCTTTTCTTATTATTTTCTGACCAATGAAAACCCATCGTTTGTTTGTTTCCCCTCGATCTTTTTTTTTTCTTGTTTCGTCCTCTTCTTTACTGTTGTGTCATGCAGTTAAACCCTACAATTTATGACAGAAACGACCAAACACTGCCAAGTGCCAACCACACTAATTACAATCTTCAGGACTTTATTATTATAATGTTATTTTTCTTTTCAAAAAAGTAGCCTAAAATATGTCTCTTTAACCACATGGCAGGGAGATGGTAGGAATTAAAGTGCCACATGAAGTGGAGAAATAATAGCTTATAGCCAATTTTTCAGAGATGAAAAACAAAAGGGTAACTTACAGGAAGCCACCCTGTATATGGGGTAGTGACACTTCCCAAAATTTGTTTTCTAACAAAAAACCCTGAATTTTTGGATTTCAGCATTTTATTCCCACCACTAAATATTCTATCAGTTAATCTCATGGAATATTCTATTTATAAAATCCAAACCACCCTTATGTTGTTTTCTGGAACCATTTTCTCTAGTGGTTTTGGTTTCTATAACAAAATCAACTGTCATATCAGAAAAAACTATATAATACAGTTTTGCTGATGTAGTAGTTGATTTTGTTTTAGTAAACAGCCATTCCCATTGTTGAACACCCCCCTACATTTTTTAAACATACTAAGACTCTCTCACGTTTCTCTCAACTTTCTTTCAATAGAATTTATCTTGAAAATACCTCCAGAATGATTTCTGCAATAAGGGTTTGACTATAACAATGAACTTATATGAATCAATCAGATGGCATTTACAAAATTTGATTGTTGGTAGGTGATAGAATATGAAATGTGCAATTTAATAATCTTATTAAATATAGGGGTGGTTACGAGGTGAGTTCTTCATGAGCTACTCGAGTTTGGCTTGTGAAAAGTTTGGTTCGGTTCGATTGAAATTGAACTTCGAGCTCAATTTGCAGGCTCGTTTATTAATTAAGCCGAGCTTAAGCCTAATAAATCTCAGCTTGTAAAACATGCGAGTTAGCTCGTATAGTTAGCTAGCCACATATATGCATACATACATACATACATACATACATGCATATATACATACAATAATAATAATAATAATAAATTATAGAAAATAATATATATAATAAAAATATTATAGATATAATATTTTTATTTTTATATATAATAATAAATAATTATTATTTAAATATCAAATAAAAATATTTTATATAATTTTTTTAATTTTATAAAACGTTTTTCTCAAGTCAACCTTGAGCTCATGGTTCTAACTCCAACCGAGCTTGAATAGCTAACTGTTCAGCTTAGCTCAGCCCGAATCCACCCCTAATCACAAAACAAAGTTTGGGCCTTGGGGGCTAAGTGTTACTACGCCCTAACTAGATGGTGGCTATCTTTAATTCACCCAAAACAAGATGATAAGAGGAGGAATGAGTGATCTTGGCAATATGTGTACCTGATGTGGCTCGATCTACTCAAGTCCTAGTGTGAGAGTAAGGAGTGGCACGAACCTTGTTTAGTGGCTTGTAAGAAAGAAGATGTCAGAGAGCCTGGGTTGTGAGCCCGAGAGAGGAAACTCCAATGATCAAGTTAGTGTTGAGCTAGATGATCTGAAAGAAAAGTCCAAGCAAAAAGAGCAAAGTAAGCTAATTCTTCTTCTTTGACAGCATACCTTGTGAAGGTGAATGTCTCCCACTTTTATAGAGGCGAGGGGTGATCAAAGATTCTCGAAAGTAATGGACCTTGACGATTGAATTCTAAGGAGCCCTTGGGAGTGTTCTTCGGATGAGCCACTGGCACTTATCGTTTCTCTAAAGCTGAGTTTGGAAGGGGTACAAATGCAAATATGTAAGATTAAAACCTTATATTTTGTATGTATTTATACTGTACATATTTATATTTATACTCTTTTCAAACTGAGCCTAAAAAGTGGGGACACTCTTGTCGTTACCGCCGGGTGTTGGACATGCCTCCGATGATTTCAGAGGCGTTGAGTGCCTGAAAACGCATCACTCGTGCTGATGTGGCAGGTCGAACTTATGTTATGTGGCCGGAGTATCGATCTGGTGCCTGATCCATCTGATGCCCTGATGGCGGATGATTCCCTACCTGTCGTTACTACAGGTCCACGCAGCGTCAGATGATCGGTGTGTTGGTTTTGCCCATCAACATACCCATCGGTGGGTCCTCTTATGTAAGACCGTCCTCTTCTCTTACAGCCTTGCCTACAAGTTGGAAGTACTGTGAAAGAAAAGGTGATAACCAAGTCCTTCAACATGACTGTCTAACCATTAGGTACAACCAAACCAAACGCTTCCCCACGCTTGCCCTGAAGAAACCTTCTATTATAGGGTAACCCTAATAGTGGGGCTCCCAGATATTAGGTGAGGCGCCATGCATCCAATCATTGTCATAAATAATAACAAAATAGTTCGTTTTCATAAAAATGTATTTACTTAAAATCACCGCCAAATGGCAAATTTCATTTGATAATCAAGAGAAATTAAGCAAGGTTCAAGGCTGTCTATCGCCGTTGTTACGACTTGCGAGTTGGGTACAGTGATATTAATAATTTAATTATTTACAAATAAGTCCCCCAGCAGCAGCGGGATTTGGGGATTCCGGTGGGTTTCTTTGCTTGTCCGGCTTGGAAATGTCTAAAACAGGTACAATTTCAACGCGTCGCGACACCGTGATAGAACGCACTCACGGAAATTCCCCGGTGACTCTGTCTCTTCCAAGCAAACCCCTTTCACTATTCACTGTCACGATCGCCGTCCGATACGATAACGGCGTTGGCATTCCACCATGTGCCTCCGTTTGATTCCATCAAATCTTCGTCCTCCAGAGGCAACTGAAGGTTCCTCAAATCTCGAACTGCAAATGAACCCGCGTCGTCTCTGACGAACACCTTCTCCACTCCGCCGGAACCTACACCCGTTATCTTCCTCCGCCGAGGCTGCCATTCCGCAAAAATCGCCGGAATCTGACGTCCCACTCTCGCGTCCCAGACTCTCAACGCCGCGTTGCGACTGTTCTCCAGTCCCGCCGACAGAACCATTGCCGGCGACGCTATTGATACTGACGGGAACTGACACATTCCCCCAACAAATGAGCATATGGTTTGCTCTTTGTTCAAATCCCGCACAGAGATGCGGCTCTCCGACGTGTTCCGAAACCCTAGGCCTAACCCGTCCCACAACTTGACGACGCTCTGGCTGTTGGTGAAGCCGGACCAGGAGAACCAATCTTCGCAGTTGCTGCGTCGTCGCCGGTGCCTCAGTTTAAAACCTTCCCCTCGGTCTTCGTTGTAGTTACCAGAACCCGCCACTCGAAAATCTTCATCAACGGGTCTCGGATTCTCAAATGGCGAAAATGATTCGTCTTCATCATCGTCATCATCATCCGATGAAGATGAAGTCGAGAAGATCTCATCTTCATCTTCATCTTCTTGGTCGTCGTCCGCATCGGCATCGACCAGCGGTCTGAAAATATGTTCTGATCTAGTCCTCCAGATTCTGAAAATTAGGATTTGGGTTCTCTTGATTAAGCTACTGAAGGTAGCGAGGAAGGCGACAATCAGAGCCCCCCACGTCCAAAGACTGTAATTTAAATATATATCTTCGATTCCCGCGAGATGAAAAAGCCGGGAAACGAACGATGGGTTCTGTAAGCAGTTTATCCCCGCTTCAAAGCCGCTTATCCTACTGATAACAGGTATCTCCATTGCTATCATGCGCCAATACACCTAGCAAAAACGAGAGATACAGATTCTAGCTGCAACGAAAAGAATAGAGCTTCTCAATTGTTTCATATGAGCGAAAGAATGACAAACCAGCGAGGGACTCAGGGAGGAGAGACGAAGTGGGAGGTGGCTTTTAATAATGGCGAGACAGAGAGAAAATCATAATTTTTAGATGTTGACGTGGAATATGTTGATTTGTGATGTGGTTCCAGAGAGAGGAGGAATCTAAATCACGTCATAAAAGGAAGCTGGGCTTCTGGAGCGGATAGATTGGGTCGGATGAGTCAGCAACTCAGAGCACGTGAGCGATGTTGTCAATGAGTCAGCAACTCAGAGCGCTTTCATCTGGTCCTTTCATTTTTCATCTGAACTTCGAACGACAATCTGTGCCTGAAACTACCTATGGCTACGGTTGTGAGGGTCGTCTTCCGTCCTCGTGGTGGTCGGAGCTCCTTAGCGCCGGGTTGCTAATGCTGCCAAGTTGCTAATGCTGCCAAACTTCCATTAGGTGTTTCACGTTTGTCAGTGACGAACTATATACACATTGTGGTGGTCCCAGTGAAGTCGCCTGTAAAATATAAATTAGTCTTATTTCTTTTTTGTTTATTTTTTTAATAGTCTTTTTCATTAATTTATTTATACTTTTGATTGATGGATTACCATCCAACGGTGCATAAGACGCCCTGCTTTGATCAAGTCACATCACAATGTAACGATCTTGATCACCGGCTTATCATGGTCGGTGGTGTGGCTGTGAGCCTGAGCCACACCCTACAGTTTTAGTAATTAGCAGTTGTTACTAGAAGATCTTAATCTGGATTTTAGATGACTTAATTTTATTAATCTTAGAATCTTTTTAATAATATCTGTATTACCCAATTATAAAATGAGGATGGTGGCAATGTTTGGTCAAAAAGACTAATTTTTATTTTCTAATTTTATTTTTTATATTTATGTTTTTTTCAATTTTATTTAATTAATGGTTAATGCTTGTAATAAAATAAAATAAATAAAATAATAATAAAATCGTTGTAGAACCTACTCCTCCCTCCCCTTAAACAAATAATTAATTAGATGATTAAATGAAGTTTTTTTTTTTGTTTTCTTCTTGTTTTTTCAGATATTTTTTTTCTCATTTCCCCTTTATTTCGATTTGTCTCCGTTAACATAATTAGAGGTAAGCAAAAAACAAACCGACCGAAACTGAACCAAAAAATCAGTTAACTGAACCGGTCGATTCAGTGTTTTAAAAAACTGAAGGTATCAGTTCAGTTTCAGTTAACCAATATGGTCAAAACACCTTGATTATATATTATATATATTTATGTATATTATATATTTTTTATATATTATAAATTCATAAATATGTATTATATATAAATATATATTTATAATATATTTAAAAAAAAAATGAGAATGTTGCAATTAGTTTGGTCAAAACACCTTGATTTTACTTTTCAACTTTACCCTCAACTTTCTATTTTTTTTCAGTTATATATATTGTCATTGCAAAATAATTATGAAAACCATAAAATGAAGAAAATAATATAAATTATAAAAAAACAAAGAAATACATAGAAAATTTACAAAAAATATAGAAAATCATAGAAATTTCTATACCATACTAAAAAATGAGAATGTTGCAATTGGTTTGGTCAAAACACCTTCAACTTTCTATTTTTTCTGATTGTATATATGCCATTGCAAAATAATTGTGAAAAAACACATAAAATGAAGGAAATAATATAAATTACAAAAACAAAGAAATACATAGAAAATTTACAAAAAATATAGAAAATCATAAAAATTGAAGAAAAATAACATAAATTACAAATCTATACCATACTGAAAAATGATAATGTTGCAACGGTTTATGACCATTTATTTATTTTTTAATTATTATTATTATTATTATTTTTTAATTTTTCTATCAGAACGAACCGTCCATTCGACCAGACGGTCGAACTGTGAACCCAGAAACCAATGACCAAAATGGTTCTGTTTTCGAATCATTTTTTAAAACATTGGTCAAACATCACCATCAATATCAAATACCCATGCATTGCACGGGACACTCAGTAGCTGTTAAATAAATAGCAAGATACAAAACTTATGCCACGCTTGCCTCTCTTTGTGTGTTCTTTGGGACATTTATATTTTATAGGCAGTTGTTGGAAATAATTTTTTTTCTTTTATTATTATATAATTGGGTATTTGGTTGGTTAATGGATTCGTTAGTAAATAGTAAGTGTTTGGCTGTCGGAAGTTGTAGTTGGATGGTGGATGTAATTAACGGCTGCCGTCCAAACATCTATTAATTTTGTCTGGGATAAACCTGAAAAGGGAGTGGGTTAAAACGGTGGTAACCGTTAAAAACCGCCAGGCTATGTCCCCGTTATCTCGTCGTTTCATAGAAGAATCCTCAGGAAAAATGATCTGTGGTTTGATAAATGGCGACGTGAGAAAGTAAAGAGAGAAGAAGAAAGAGCAGCGTGCAAGTATAAGATAAGACAGAAGACTTGCTCAATCCAAGAGGACCAAGAAGACTTCCCCTTTCCCAAACAAAATTAATTACCCTTGCAGAGAGAGCTGAACAAACAATCCATTAATTCCGCACCTTAAAAAATTTTAAGTCTATCCATATAAGGCAGGACACGTGGCTCATTCATTCTTCAATCTAGACAATTCAACTCTCGAATGAAAGGATAGCAGCCAATTTTGTAGATTTGAACATCCACGCCATCCAAACGCGGTTATGAATGAACATAGTGTAAAACCATCACGTTTTTCTCCATAAATCCCAAAACTGTAGTAGTAAATGAAGTGAGAAGAGAAAAGTTTAGTCAAATATTTTAAATTAATTTCTACAACAATTTCTTTTCTTGGATTTTGCAATTTAGACTGTGAACTGGTTCCCAACTTTGAATGTGAATGCCTACATTTGTATTCTCTTCTTTAATTTTCGCCTTTTTCAGAGCAAAACAAGGCTTGTTGCTTTGACTAATCACGAAAACCCTTTAACTAAACAAGAAAAGACTTGCTGGGTTTGGCTTGCTGCTTTGATGAAACACAGGATCTCAAAATTTTCTTGTCCAACTTAGACACGACACAAAAGGCTGAAAAGTCCTACAATCCAACTGCCCAACAACAGAGAAATAAATGATAACGCAGAAATCCTACATAAACAAGCAAAAATAAATGTTTCTTGTGTTTGTCAAAATTGCTTTTCCTACTCCTTTTCTACTTTTTCTATAAGAAAAGAAACAAGTAATTAATTTAAATGCTAGTGATATTTAAAACATAATAGTTTGATCAAAAAAGTGTCTACAAAGTGATAACACAGAAGTAGAGAGATCGGAAAGTTTTCAAAAATTTTGTGAAGAAGCAGATTTTATTTAGTGGATAGTTGTAGGATATGATCATGCGCCGGAGACTATATCAAATCATACAAGCTTTATTTTATTTTATTTTATTTTTCTTGCAAGAATAAATGCATTTTGTTCCCAAGAACCGATTATTCTACAATTTCTGTGGTGTGATTCCCAAGAAACTATGGATGGTGTGAACCGTGTGATGGTTTCTCCTTTGGCAAGTGGGCCATACACTTCATATTAACAGTAATGGTGGGACCTACCTATAGAGAGTAAAGTTACTTCTTTGATTTCAAAACATCTAAAAAATAGGGCATTAGCTTAGTCAACCTCCATTCTTTTGGTTGGTTTCCAGGTATCAGATGGTCCATATTTTGGATGCTTGAAAGAATTTCCCATGTTTATCATGCCTTCATTTTTTGAATTTCGTTGAAGCAATTTTGATTTTAGTTGAACAATATATATAGTGAGGTGAGTCTCTTTCCACGATTGTTTATTTGTTTTCAGTCCTAATCTTCCAAAATTGTGGGGTCAATCCGTAGAAATTTTGTAAAGAAAAGTAAAAAAAAAAATTAAAGAAGTAACAAGGAAAGGCTTAAGTTTAAAGGAACGTTTTTTGACATTAAGATGTGTGTTTTTCATACTCTTACTCTTTTTCTTTTTTCAATTTCAAGTACGTGTAGTAATAATAAAGCTCTTTAAATTGTGTTACTCCCTTGACAATTAACACATCTCTAATTAATTAGTCATTTAGTTTTTTTTTTTTTTTCACTGCAATTTTATTTGCATTATTATAAATGAAATGATGAGAATATACTAAAATTAAAACAATGAAACTTTTAGTTCACTTTTATTTCAGGTCTTACTTTGTTTTAGCTTTTATTTAAAATTATCTGAATGTAAACAAAGAAAACAAGCAAGCCAAAATTTGCACTCACATACTTTTGTTTGATGTCAATTGGTTATAGTTGGTAATGGTTGAAGAAAAGACTTGGGATCCAATCCCACCTGCATCAGGGTTGGTGGGGTTATAGATGACATAGTAAAAGGATTAGCCAAAAAATAAATATATACATGTTTGATACATTTTTAAAAAGCTACAGAATGAATATGTAGTTTTCCTCCCATATTTAAAATAAATACATATATTATTAATGTGTTTTATGTTCTCCAAGAAGAATTATTCTGTTTATCCCTATATTTGAATAATTCAGTATTAGGTAAAAATGAAAAGTATACATATAAAATATGGTCAAGACATGGAGAGAGAGAGATCATGGAATTTGTTAATAACTAAAGTGTGAATTTGTGTTTTGACACTTTCAATTCATAGTCATCCTTTGTGTGTATTGACCCAAAAGCATTTGAAAAATAGCCCCATTGAGTTTCCCTATCATTCCCCCTTGCATTGTTAATTTGGTCAAGACGAGAGAATATGTGATAGAAGTATTGTGTTCAATGTTTCACCTGCTGGTTCACGAGCACAACTAATGTGTTTTGCATGTATGTTCTTGTTGGTTCTAGCTAGTCTACAACCATGCATTACTGGTGTGGTTCCAAAACAAGCAAAGTAGTAATCCCTTTTTTCTATTTTTAACACAACTTTTTATA